GAAATTTATGCTGCATGTGCAAATAAACTTTCTCTATGAGTTCAACACAAGCCAATGAAAGCTTTCATAACACTGTTGCTTCTAAAGCACCAAAAAACAGACATTACAGTAAATCAGAAAGTTTAAATATCCGTATTGCAGCAGCAGTTTCACAGAAAAATAGTGGATACACATATGTTTGTAGTGTTAACAAAGAAAATGGACTATCTCCTGGAGTTGTTTCACAGGTGAGGGGAATAAAACTAGACGATAAAGCAAGAAAAAGAAAGATGCAGACAGAAAACAAAGAATACAAACTTAGACGTATACAATTAAATGAGGAGCGAAACAAAAAATGTAATGCTACTGAGTTTAAGAGAAGGTGACACATACAACACAAACATTGCAATTAGAAATGACATTGATATTACATGTATTCCTGAACCAGTTAATGCTCCTGTAAGTTTTCCAGTAAAAATACTTAAAGATTCTCCTGTTGTTGTATTTGATCTTGAAACAACATCATTTGGTATTGATTCCTCTATTTGTCAGATTGCTGCGTCTTATGATGGTAAATGATGATGAGTATGCTGACCCTTGTCAGCCAATACATCCAGCAGCATCCAAAGTAACTGGGTTGACATATACATGTGGTAAACTGTTTCATAACTTTAATTTAGTACCAACATTATCACGGAAAGATGCTCTTGAGAGTTTTATAGAATGGATTCCATTAAATTTTGTGTTAGTTGCACATAACTGTAAGAATTTTGATGCTAGGATTCTGGTTAGTTCTGTGCAAAGATATGGTCTTTTAGACAAACTGAAACATAAACATTGCTGCTTTTCTGATACCCTCTCTGTATTTCGTGAAATGTTACCACCTCGATGATAAAGCAAGTGTTATATGATTTTATAATAGATGAAATATTTAATTATATTAGTATTTATGGACCACTTTTATATATTTATCAATATATGAATATTTAAAAAAAACAGAACACAAAAAAAATATTATCTACAACAGTACTGATATTTTTGTCACTTCATGTATGTAACACTAGTCATACTCTGCCTTGTATGTATGTTACAGCACACACACACCCCTCCCCACCTGTGCCCTAACTGAGAATACAATGCTTTCATCAGTATCCCTCAGAAGAAAATAATACTTCAGTGCATTAGTGGCTTGACTTTAAATTTCTATATTTCCAATGAAAGGTAAGAACATTCTCCCAAGCACCCAGCCAATATATATAAACTGTACTTCATATATAAAACAATATAATCTACTGATGTTGGATGTACATGACCATATTTGATGTACCCCGGTATGTATATTGACAAGGTCAAAGGTCACATAAATGATCCAACATGGCCACCAAGATTATTGAAACTGACAATTAAACTATTTTTTTCTCAAAAAGTAGTGCATTAGCATACCATTTTCAATGTACAATATTGAATAACTTCAGAAGTACTCAACATATACACAATTTCAAGAGATTTCCGTGGATGAAATTTTTTGTAGGACAGTTTCTAAGAGTTTTGTTATCTAAAATACAAAACCAAATGAAGGAAACTATTGTTTTCTTTAAATGGGTAATTTCTTAAATTCATTAGAATTGAATTTAAATATGAACTCATATTATGTGCTGATAGGATAAAACCAATTTCAGTAAAAATTTGGATTAAAACAGAGTATAAATGACAACTTAAGTTATTTATGAAAGCTACTTAAAAATGCTGACTCAGCATAATTGTGAGTTGTGTATCTTAAAAATTAGTACATTAACCCATGTTTTTTTTCTTTTCTATAAGTTTAGAGTAATATGTCCTCTACACCTGTAGTATTTTAAACGATTTTCCATGGATTTTTTTTATTTTGTAGCATACATCCTTAATTAAATGAACATTTTTTTTCTATTTGTAAATTAAATTAAAATAAATGAGATTAATTTCTGGAACTTAAGTACGGCACGTGAATTGAGACCTGTTTGAAGTAGTCATTGACATTTCTGGCCATATAAAGTGTAATTAGAATATGATTTGGGTGATCAGTTATTTGATTTATGGGTTGTAGGGGAGCAGAGGTCTGGCTTTTGTCACTCTGTACATTCAATTTGAGATCTAAGAATGAATTATGACGATAAAAACTGCAAAATATTCTAAATATCGAGTAAAAAACAGGTTGTGAAATAGATGTCAAACGCCCATTTTGCATGGCGTTATTTCGCCTCTAGAGGGCCAGTTAATGAGACATCAGTGAAAACTGATAACTGAACCCATTCATTCAAGTACGTCAATCCATAGAAGTGCTACTATAAAAGACCTTGTTTAGTGTCAATTTAAAAGTTCAAACATGGTGCGATGTTGTGCGTATTAATTCCATAACGATTCATGTTATTTTTATGGAAATCCCAAGTGAAAAATCACGTTGTTGCTTGCGATAAATCGACAGAAGAACCAACATGAAAGTGAAGACACATACAACGTTCTATATTTTAGTAAACAGTGAGTAAATAAATATTGGAACGAGGTAAAACTAAATTATAAATATGCTAACATCACTTGAACTACAGTGCTCATCTTGCCTAACTTATCACTTTATAATCAACCGTTTATCGTCTAAACGACCGCATTCTATTGTTTTTTTCTTCTCGCGCGCTCATTGAAAACACCAACCGCTCGACCAATCACTGATTGCTGGCACAGGAGTGGTCGGAATGGCGGTTTCAATGATACACTTTGGAGGATACAACGAGTATTAACTATCATTAAGGGACAACGTCAAAAGATCGATGTCAGATAAAAAAAACTTATTTTCTTTAGTTTGGGGGGTGGGGTGGGGGAGGGAGTTTGACCTCAAAAGTTTTCCATCCCACAAAAACGATTTTATTTTTTAATGAACTCAAAGAAATCATGGAGTATTTGTAGTTCGTTTTTTTTTCTATCCAATCATGGACAAAAATAACAGAATATGAAAAAAACATCGAAGACGAGATAATGATTTGACCCGGAAAGGGGAAATGCCGACTGCTTGGGTGCAAGAGTAGAGAAGCGAGAAAATGTTGATGTAGTTTTTATTAAAATAGCGATGCCAGGTTTCCAACCCCAAATTATTGAACATGATAATCATGAATTGGTCAATGTTTGTCCTGTCTCGGCTTGAAAGACAGATGTCGCCACTGACGCACCTTAAACTCAGCATGGAAAAACCAACGACAATCGACATTCAAAACAAATCATTACCAAGACACGGTCGATAGGCATTTCAAACTTTCGAAATTATCATCGAAAGCCGAGATATTCACAAACATATCGTAATACCAAACATACGCAAATACACGAAGAGGTGTAAAGTTATGTTTTATGTGAGGCACA